AAAAGTTAAGTTCAATGTGTTCTAAGTCCGTTTCCATAAGTCATTTAGCCATATCTAAGCCTTAGGGGTAGTTTAGAGGGTTTGGGGACTAAAAACCCCATCTAGGGGTGTTCACAGTCCAAGAGTGTTCTTCGATGTTAGTTATGTTGGATTAGTGTCTAAGTCCATAACTATTTGTTGAAGATTATTGTGTTGCGTCTTGGGCCCTTTGAACAGGTTATTTGATCAATTATGGACGAGTCGCAATCCAATCCCATCAATATTTCAAACAGCATTGGATCAACAACGAAGATTCCCATCCTGTACACCCATGATTATGAAGTCTGGGCGAATCACTTTGAAGATTATGTCATAGGATCTGAGGATAATGGATACCTCATCTGGGAAGCAATTATCTCTGGACCGTTTTCTCATTCAGCAACTTCAAGGATTATTAAAACTCAAAAGGAGTATAATGATCTTCTGAAAGATGTTAAAGATGTAGCGCAAGACGAAAAAGTTAAATTTCAGTGCAATATCAAAGTGCTAAGATTGATTAGATTTGCTCTTCAATCCAATACTTTTAGGCTGGTAAGTTCATGCACGACTGCAAAAGAGATATGGGACAGGCTACGTGAATTGTACTCTACAGACGAAGATCTTGAACACTCCATTCAAACCTTACTCTTATCTGAGTTTGGTGAGTTAAAGCAAGGAGCAGAAGAAATGGTGACTCAAACGTTCGATCGCTTCAATCATCTTCTTAGCAAGATGATCAAACATGACATCGAAAGGAAGCTTATTGAATAGAAGGTTACGTTTTTTAATATACTTAGGTCTAAGTGGAGAGCAATCGTGTCCACAGTTAAAGCACACGAGCAATTCAAATCCTATTCATTGGTGAAACTGGTGGGCATCCTAAAATCTCAAGAAAAGATCGTACTGCAGGAGAAAACCGTGGTTTCAAGTCTAGGTTCGTTGGCCCTGCTGTCGACAAGCAAAGCTGTGATAGAGGATGAAGATCTCAACTTGGATGATTATGATCTCACGTCTGAAGACTAATGCTATGATGGTGTCAAACCCTAAGAGATTCATCAAGAAGAGATTCCCCACCAATAGGAACCGAAACTGGCAAGGAAGCTATAGCGCTGAAAAGGTCAAAGATGAACCAAAGCTGAAGAATCAAAGAAGGAACCGAAGGCTGAAGGATATTCTGGAGTGATTTGCTATTATTGTGGAGGAAAGAACCACTATGCAAAAGATTGCGTCCTCAAAAAGATGGAAGAAAAGGATGAAGAAAATGATGAAGAAGCCGTGTTGATGAAAAAGCTTGATGAGTTAAAGAAGAAGAAATTTGCTGCTAACCCTTCCATGAATGCTTTAATTGTGCAGGGTTCGGTTGCTGATGATGAGTTCGGTGGCATGGAGGTCTGGTCAACCGACTCCGAAGATGATGAAGTGAGGAAGCCTTCACATGGAAAGGCTTATGTAGCGAAAGAAGAGAGCAGTGGAGGAAGATGCTTGATGGTGTCCGACGTTTCTCAGATGATGGGATACAACACTGATGGTGGGAATGATGACAAGGAACAGCAGAATCTGTGCTTTACTGCCAAACCACTCAGCGTGCAGTTCAGCGAACTTGATGAACTGATCAAGAAGGTACAATCAGTTTTTGTCTCATTTAAAGTCCCACAATGCTCATATGAAAAGGAATTAAAAAGTGTTAATTCAAGAATCTCTCATCTAGATAGTAGTTTAACTCAAACTCGAGTCACCAATTCTAACCTAACTGATCAATTAAGCAGGGTGTCTTCGAAGAGTGAGGAACGGCGGATGTGGATCGAACTGAAGGAGTCGGAGTTAATCAAAATAAAAGATGAAAACATATATTTGCAAAGAGACAATTTAAAGCTTTTGAAATAGCGAAATGTTTTTGTCTGATTGCCAAACGTCTTTATACTAATGTTACACAACTTCATTTGAATTGTGAAATAGGGAAAAAGATTCATCGCATGATTTTACCCTTTCTTGAGTTTAAGGAAGATGAAATTGATGCTGATGCATATAATTGTGAGAGTATTATTTCGTCTGAGGATGTTAATCCAACATATTTGTATGGACTGGACAAAATTGAATCTTTCATAAAATCCAAGGACCACAAGAATATGCTCAAAAATCTTTTGGATGAAAATGATAAACTGAAGCTAAGAACCGAAACCATACAAAAATTTGACTCACTGAATGTCAACTTAAGCTCGGAAAATAAAATTGATGTTGAAAATGCATCCGAGCTTAATGAGGACGATAATATGAGTGAAATTTCTATAGAGGACACAGTCGATTGTTCAGAATTTGTCAAGAATGAACCCGAGAACCACAAAAATCTCATTTCAGAAAATTCTGTGGAATTCGCTCGGTAGTCCCAAAAAAGTCCCCGATTCTTGTAGAGAAGGCAGTCGTATACCAAAAAGTTAGAACCAATCCGAATTAGGTGTACAAAGTCACAGGTGTAACCGAACATCAGACTGCTGAACTAACAGCTATTGTGAACGAAGATAATGCTGATGGCTGTGACGAGTTCTTTTGGTCAGCTCCCATTGGCAATGTTGATGAAACGGTAGGTCTGTCTGAAAGGACTTCATGGAAAAGCAAAGGCAGATACGTACCAGAACCTTTAAATAAACCTGATGGCTTCAACGTGGCAAGTACCAGTGGAACAAAAGATGTCCCTCAGGAGAAAGAAATTCCTGCAAAAGAAGTCACATCTCCAAGTGAAACAACATCTGTTCAGATTGGATCAGCCAATGAAAATCAAAAACATAAAGCTAACGTCCATCATCAACCAAAGCAGATGAGAAGTCAAAAATGGGAAAGGAATCAGAGATACAGGAAGAATCTCTCAGAAAGAAAACAATTTTGGCAATTGCAAAATGCATATTTCTCACATCAAGACAGGAATTTAAAACCTGCGAAAAATCCTGTTGGATCGACGGAGAGAAATAACAACTGAAAGCAGAGGTTCGGTTCAGAGCACAATGACAATCGAAAGCAGAGTCTCGGTTCTGAGCAAAACAACAACCGAAAGCAGAGTCTCGGTTCTGAGCAAAACAACAACCGAAAGCAGAGGTTCGGTTCAGAGCACAATGACAATCGAAAGCTGAGGCTCGGTTCTGAGCAAAACAACAACCAAAAGCAGAGGTTCGGCTTAGAGCATAACAACAACCGAACGCATAGATTCGGTTCAGAGAATGATTTCAACCGAAAGCACAGGTTTGGTTCTGGAATCAAAAGAGATCCAAACTCTAAGGTTGGTCCTATCGTTAATCAAAAGCAAAAGAGTCACCTAGAATCTTCAACCAAGAAGTCATACCATTCTGAGTTATCTCATTCTAACTCTTCAAAATCTTCTGTCTTTTCCACTCCGTTCCTTCTCAAAAATCTCAGTCATCAGTTGAACAAAAAGGAAAACAAAAGGTTTCATATATTGAATCAGAATGAATACCAAAACCATCAAATCCAAATAAAATCAAAGTTTTCACCATCAAAAGCAAAGATGAAACAACACTAATAAAAGGAACATATGTAGTTGACATCTCTCTTACTATTCCAGTAAAAAGCTCACGTGGACCCAAGAAGCTCTGGGTTCCTAAATCTGCTTAATTTTTGCAGGTTATCAGTGACGAGCAGTATGACGAAGAATGGTACATTGATAGTGGCTGCTCGCATCACATGACAGGGAGGAAGGAAGAGCTAAGGGAATTCATATCTCTTTCAAATGGTGGAAATGTCAAATTTGGGAACAATTCCTTCGGCATCATCAAAGGCTACGGGATGATTACAAACGGTGATTTCTCAATCAAGAAAGTTGCATATGTAGAGGGACTACAACACAATCTCGTCAGTGTATCTCAGCTTGTTGGAGGTACTGGTCTCAAGGTCTCATTCGATGATGAAGGTTCGGAAATTATTGAGAAGAAGACGAACAAAGTTATTCTCAAATCAGAGCGCAAAGGTGAAATGTTTCCCCTAAATCTCAAACCAGCCATCTTCCTGTTATCCAAAGCACAATCTGACGAAAGCTGGCTATGGCACCGAAGACTCTCTCATCTCAACTTCAAAGATATCAACAAACTTGTCACTGGAGGTCACGTTAGAGGTCTTCCATTGCTCAAGTATGATAGAGATCATCTATGTACTACATGTGAAATGGGGAAGCAGAGTCGTCAAAGTCATCCATCTATAATAAACACTAAAGTTGTTGAACCACTAGAATTACTTCATATTGATTTATGTGGTCCATCTTCTATAGAAAGCATTGGTGGTAGCAACTATATTCTTGTTATTGTTATGACTTTTCATGTTTTACATGGGTGTTCTTTCTGAAGCGACTCATAAGCTAAAAGTGTTCATCAAGCACATTGAAGTACAGCTGAAGAAGGTCGTTCGCAACATCAGAAGCGACAATGGGTTGGAGTTCAAAAATAAAGAATTTGAAGAATTCCTGGAAGAAAAGGGAATCAGTCACAACTTCTCAGCTCCCTACACACCTCAACAGAACGGGATTGTCGAAAAACGAAACCGATCCTTATGTGAAGTTTCCCGAACAATGCTAAGTTTTGCTTCCTTACCTTTGTATTTTTGGGCTGATGCTATTTCTGCTGCTTGTTTTACACAGAACAGGTCTTATCTTAACAAGCGCTTCACTCTCACTCCTTATGAGATCATCAACAACAGGAAGCCGA